TAAACAAATAATTCCCTCAACACTGTCAAACTATTCACTAAGTCTGCATTACTATTACTATTAATCTTCTCATCATTCCTATCACCCATCTCCTCCCACTTATGACTGTATGACTGTAACTTTGTATCTTTACATACGTATATTGATTGTTTCCTAGTATGAGTTGATTGCTTACTTGTACCCTATGAATATCATTAAGTGTTGTACCTTATGATTCTTAATGAATGTATCTTTTCTTTTTATGTACACTGAGAGCATATGCACCAAAGACAAATTCCTTGTGTGTCCAATTGTATTGTATTGTATTGTATTGTATTGTATTGTATTGTATTGTATTGTATTGTATTGTATTGTATTGTATTGTACTGTACTGTACTGCACTGCACTGCACTGTACTGTACTGTACTGTACTGTACTGTACTGTATGTTCATAATCTATGCCAGGGTTCCTAGAACCAAACCTTTTTCCAGATAAAGGGAATGTTTGGGAGTACCTAGCATGAGAGGTACACAATGCCACTTACTTTTGCCCAGCAGGATGGAAGTCTGTAAAAGTCATCCTGACCATGTGCCTATTGAGATAGCATCAGGGCTACAGGCCATACAACCACATGTTTCAGGTTAACAGGTTGCCAAGTCCCCAAGGTCCCTAGATGTCAGAGTCTTAACAATACCCAATCAACCTGCAATCACACCGAAACCATTTTCTTAAGGCTGTCTCCAGGATGGTTCCTGCTGTGTGGGTTAAAAGCTTACTCTTACCTACCAGCAGACTCAACTGGTGGCCCATGTATCTTAGGGTGACTAATCATGCTAATGCCCTCACCGCAAAGATGATAAAGGAGGGACCTTCAAACATTAATCCCTAATTGCAATTCAAAGGTCTCCCTACCATCAAAAACCTGAATATGTAGCATTGGTTGTTTCGCTAGTGGGAGTGCCAGGGTTTGCAGTACATAACGCTTTAGGTCTGAACAGCCTGGCATGCACCCTAGCCAAAAAATTAAATTCCAACTCCCATGCCCTATCTGCTCTCATAGAGAACTGAGGCAGATCAGAGAAGCCATCCTTGAAAATCGAGCAGCCATTGGTTATTACGATACAATCATGGCTGTGAAGAATTTTGTAGACTTTGTTGTTTTAATTTGACCAAAGACTCAGAGTAAATAGAGCAAGATATCCAACACCTAAAAGAGCTGGCATGAAACATTGGATACAACAAATCCTCCCTGGATCTATCCTGGCTCTTCTCCTAGTTGCCAGACTTATGTTGGCTAAAGGTCCGCATTTTGGGCATCCATCATAGTGGGATTCATCCTTTGCTGTCTTTCCCAGTGTATTCCCCCATGCCAAAAGACTTATCTTTATTCTATTCCAAACCGCAATAAAAGGGGAAACCAGATCTCAATAATGATGAGCCAAATTGATCATGAATAACAAATTTATATGGACAATGACTCAGGTTGTGCAGAGGGCTAAAATTAGGAAATGTTAGCCCTTGCAGAACACAAAGGGGGTGTTAGAATTAATTAAAAGACTCTAGAATTAATTAAAATACAGCCACTTTCCCTTTAAGCCAAACAGTGAATAAAAACACAAGCTGCAGAATAAAAACTCACCAAGAAAAATTTCTTCCCACCTCTCAGTCTAGGGAAAGTCCCAGGCAGACTGCCAAGAAACTTCTTCCAAATAGAGCTACTATTGTGTTTGTGTGAGCAAATATTAAACAAATCAAAAATTTATCCTCAATCATGAATAAAAATGCCAAATCCAGTCTGATCGTCTAGCTGATTGTGCAACCAACCAATAATAGTACCAAGAAAGGACTCTTTCAAGGAGATGCACTACCATGTTTGTTATTGCAGTGATTCTCCTGTCAACTATAGTGAAAAGGTCAGGCCATAGTTATCAAACATCCAAAATATCTGCCAGATTATCACATCTCCTTTACATGGATGATATGAAGCTGTATGGAAAAGCACTATCTGAAATAGAATCATTGTTCAATTCTGTCCGTATATAAGGTCAAGATATTGCAATGGAATTTGGGCTCAACCAATGTTCCACTCTCACCACCAACAGGGGGAAAATGGTGAAAACCATTTTAATTCCATAGGGAATTAAATATGATGCAGTTTCCACTAATATGAAAACTGCATCAAGGAGGAAGACGGTCAGTACAAATACCTGGGCATACTTCAAGCTGAGCATCTTTCAAGCACACCGAAGTTAAGAAGATCAGAAATGAATACATCAAGAACTTGAAGAAGATTTTAAAGTCCAAATTCAGTGGAGAAAATACCATCAAGCAATTAACACCTGTGCAATCCCAATTATTAGATTCACAACACTTTGAATAGTGGATTCGACTCAAGCAGAACTTCCTAGTCTTGGCTAGGAAGAGCAGAAAAATAATGACAATGACTTAACCCAGAATTAAGAAGACAGCAATAGACAGCCAATAACATTTCTGCAAAGAAGCTGAAGAAACAGTGGACCACCTAGTTAGCTGCTGCAAGAATATCACACAGATTGATTACAAATAACAGCATGACAAAGTAGCAGCAACAATGGCATGACAAAGTAGCAACAATGGTGTGTTGGAAGAGCTGCAAGAATACCGTTCGCCTGCAAGCAAGAACTGGTGGGATCATAAAATGGAGAAAACAATAGAAAATGAAGAAGCTAAAGTGCCCTGAGACTTTAGAATTCAAACAGTACCTGCCACATAACATCCAAGACTTAATAATTGTTGTTAAGAAAGACCAAAAACAACAACAACAACAACAACAACAACAACACCTGGATAGTGGATGTGGCAATACCTGAAGACAGTTTTTACTGATGCTTCTGATATCCAGGAACTATAAAAACTTTATTCAGTCTGTTATACCATTATAGTTTTTATATAGGCAAATCTGCCTTGGACTTTCAAATAAACTTAGGGGTGTGATATCAAGCAGGTAATAAATAAATGGAACCTTTCCCAAAACAAGATAGATATGTTTCTGAAAAATGTATGGCCAATACAACTTAGCAATTCATTGTTTGCCCATCCTCTATTCCTACTTCCAAATACAGCTACTATTGTGTTTGTGTGAGCAAATATTAAACAAATCAAACATTTATCCTCAATCATGGGTAGGAATTGAATCTTGGCCCCTTATTTATTAAAAAAACAAAACAAATAAATACTCTCTGACACTGAACTGCTCTGGTCCTTCTCAAACTTGGTTCTAACCATGTACACTTACAAACTGCATGCTATTTTTTTATTTTTATTTTTATTTTTTGCTTTAATTCATATGCCACCCTTCTCCAGAGACTCAGGGCGGCTTACAATGCGTTAAACAATAAAACAATTTCCCCCAAATCCAGGCTGGCAGTGTGGAAACTGGATTAAACGTCCTTGGGAGTAGAGTGTAGAGACACAAGAATGATGAAAAGGAAACCTTATTGCATCCTGGACAAATGACTATCCAGTCTTCTCTATAAAATTCCAGTGATGGAGCATCCACAACCCTAGGAGGCAAGCTGATCCATTGATTAATTGATCTCACTGTCAAGACATTTCCCTCAGGTTGGATCTCTCTTTAACAAGCTTCCACTCATTGTGCTGCGCTCAGGTGCTTTAGAGCAGTGTTTCCCAAACTTGGCTATTTTAAGATGCATGGACTTCAACTCCCAGAATTCCCAGCCAGTATGCCTGGTTGAGGAATTCTGGGAGTTGAAGTCCATACATCTTCAAAGGGTCAAGTTCGGGGAACACTGCTTTAGAGAAATAAGGCAAATAATATTAAATATCAGATATGTTTCTTGAATGCTTGGATGGGTGGGTAGGTGTGTCTATCTTGACTATCAGAAAAACTCTTGAATACATTTTTTAGTAAAAATATTGTTCAGTATTTTCAACTTTTTAAATTATAATAAATTGTTCAGAACATTAATTGCTCCAAAATACTGATATTCTTTATCATATTATATAATATGTATATATATTTCTATCTCTCTCCCCCCCTCCTCCCCCCTCTCCCTTCCCCTCCTTTGGATCAGTATTAAAAGTGAATCCACCTAAACATGGAATAAGAGAATAAATGAGAACATCTTTGATCAGTTGATATATGTTTTTGAAAACATACAGTATTTCAGATATCCCTTGTGATAGGAAAATATGAAGAAATTAAAACAACATTTTTAAAAGAAAGATAATTTAAGTTGCTATACTGTCAGATCATCATACAAGTTCCCTAAATTCAATATTGGCAATAGAATCTTTGAATTCCAGTTGGTAAATTGCTTTGACAATCTCTAAATGGGGAAATACTCCAGAGTATTTATTTTTATAAAAGTCAATCATTTCTCAAAAATTCTAGAAGACAGGAATAAAAAATAATTATAGTAGGAGAAAAATGCTCTTGTAGGGAACTGTAATAGAAACTTTAACTCCAGATTTTCAATGTTGCTCCTTTTAGGAGGATTTTTGGAACACTATGATCTATGCTGTAATTTATAACATTCCTGTGACTCAGATTAAATTTATATTGCTTACTTTGCAAGTAAAATACCCCTAGACTGGCATAAGAAGCTGAAACATTGTGTCTGGCTGCCAGTCAGGCTTGGTACAAATCTTTAAGATTCATATAATTTACTGTTCCCAAACAACTGTTATGGATTAAGTGATGGCCTGCTTTACTAGGCCATGCTAGGACAGTGACTTATTTCCTGAAATACACGAATCAGAAATTATCTTAGGTATAATTATGTCTGGCTTATGCATAAAGTGTAAATCAATGTGTAGAGAATCCTTAAGATATGACAGCAGTTGGGACTAGAATTTCTGCCACTAAGCAATGCATTCATAAATCTGCATCTATGTTCTCATGCGAACTAAAATTAAAGTAAAATTACTTGTTTCTTTAATAAATAACAGCATGTTAGTTCAAGAATAACTGATAGAGCAAAAAGAATAGAGGGAGAATGAATAGGAAGAGGCTAAATTAATTGCATGTTTTCCTCACCTCTTTCTTTGCGCCATTAACTGCAACCTGCTCAGAAGTATCTTGGATACCTGCAGAAATACTATTGTTCCCTGGGACGTTAACATCTCCCACCGAAAAGACCGGAAAGAGGGGCCTGAGAAATCGGAACTCGCTACTTAAGGATCCACCAGTCAAACAGACATCATAACGGTAAGTCTGGAAAGCGACCCATTCTGTGAATCAGCACAGTTCTCTTGTGTATCAGCACTGGCAGGTGGGAAGTGAGGATGAGTAGCAGGAAATTGGCTTTGGGGGTCCTTCTTGAGGATTTTGACCACAATAAACACAACAATACAGACCAGGAACACAAAGGAGACTGCAGCCAAGCAGATCACCAAATACTTGGTCAAAGTTTTATCTTCTTCCGGTTCTTGCACACTGACATCCACCCTCCTTAGGAAGGGATCCGAAAAGCCATCCACAAGAAGAACATTAAGCAATGCCGTGCTGGTCTGTGGAGGGAGACCGTTGTCTCTGACCAGTATCACCAGCCTCTGCTTGTTTATGTCTCGCTCATTCAGGGCTCTCCTCGTTTTCACTTCCCCATTCTGCACTCCTATGCTGAAAAGGGCTGGATCCGTGGCCTTCAGCAATTCATAGGAAAGCCAAGAGTTTTGGCCAGAATCTGTGTCCACTGCAACCACTTTGGTGACCAGATAGCCGGCCTCGGCTGACTTGGGAAGCAGCTCATTGCATGGGGATGTGTTGTTCTGGAGGGGATACAGGAAGAAGGGAGCGTTGTCATTCTCATCTATGATGTGGATTCGGACAATCACTTCTGAGCTCAAGGAAGGAGAACCTCCATCACATGCCCTCACAGTAACTCTGAAGCCTCTTATCTGTTCATAGTCCAGGGATCGGAGGGCATACATGTTTCCAGTTTCAGAGTTAACTGAGATGTAAGGGGTCACCAGGCCATCACCCTTCCCAGGCACAACTAAGTAATTCACTTTAGCATTCAGCGTTGTGTCTAGATCCAGAGCGTGGACTGAGCCGATGAGGAAGCCTGGAATATTATTCTCCCTGATCTGCATGTCATATGAAGACTTTTCAAAAAGGGGAGAGTTATCATTGACATCGGAGATCTGAACATTAATCAGTCTTGTTGAAGTGAGCCTAGGAGATCCCCAGTCAATGGCAGTGATGGTGATGTTGTATTCAGTGACCGTCTCTCTGTCTAGGGGACTTTGGAGCACAAGTTGATAAAAGTTGTTCATGGTGGCTTTCAGCACAAAAGGGAGATTCATCTGCACGGAGCAGACCGTTTTGCTGTTGTCTCCAGAGTCTTGGTCTCTCACACTGAAGAGGGCCACCATTGTGTCTGGCGGAGAGTCCTCCTTTAAAGCATTGGTCAGAGATATGATGGACACTTCTGGGGGGTTGTCATTCTCATCTTCAACTTCTATCAGTACATTGCAGTGCCCTGGAAGACCCCCTCCATCTGTTGCTCTGATGCTCATGCTATAACTCTTTTCTTTTTCATAATCAATCTGTCCCCAAACAGTTATATCACCAGTAATTTCATTTAAATAAAACAAATTGTTTATTCTTTCAGGCACTTGATGGAATGAGTAGAGTATCTGTGCATTTGAACCCAAATCCAGATCTGTAGCTTCCACCTTAATCACAAGAGTGCCCTTAGGGAGATTCTCCTTTATTTTTGCTTTATATTCAGACTTACTAAACAGAGGAAAGTTATCATTATTATCCAGAACATTAATATTAATTTGAACTGTGCCGGTTTTCTTTGGAACTCCTCCATCAATAGCCATTAGAATCAATTCAAGGTGTGGCATCCTCTCCCTATCTAATGTTTTCTTCAAAAGAAGGTATATATTGTCTTTTCTATCTTCATTCTTTTGTACTTCAAGCTGAAAATGCTCATTGGGACTAAGAGTATAATTTTGGATGCTATTTTCTCCCAAGTCATCATCCTGAGCTAATTCTAAGGGAAATATCATATTTATTGGAATATTTTCAGGAATGTCTACCTCCACTTTGTTTTTCCAAAATTTGGGTGCATTGTCATTCACATCTTCTATCTTGATTTCAATATTAAAGATATCTAAGGGGTTTTCCAAAACAAGCTGAGAAAGAAGTAGACAAGGATCATTCTGGCCACATAAAGCTTCTCTGTCTATTTTATCATTAATCAACAGATTCCCAGTATGAATATTAAGGTGGAAGTATTCCTGAATGCCCTCAGCAACTAAATGTGCTTTGCGTGTGGAGAGCTCTCCTGTTTTCAGTTTCATTTCCTTGATGACATTAGCCACCAGAAACCCCTTTTTCTTTTCTTCAGGGACAGAAAAGCGAATTGAAGCACACATTACTCTAAGGAATGAGAAAGAGAGAATGACATACAGACCTTGCCTTTTCCAAAAGCAATTCTCCATGACTCCAGTCTCTTCCTTGTAGGCTCAAATTCTGCCTCAAAATTCAGTCTTTCTTTCCTTCCTTTTTGATTTAATTGTTCAAATCATAGTTAATTGTTCAGTCTTTTGTCATTTTATAATCTGCAAACGTTTCGCTGCCAAAGAGTCAAATTCTTTTTGTTCAATCTTGTATTACTGTCTGCCCTGATTCTGAGCAAGCAGAACAGAACTAAATTCTTTGTTAATATTGCCACCATGTGGTGAACTAGGCAAAAATTCTATTTGCATGGTTTAGAGTCCGTAATCACATTGAATCCATTTTTATTTATCCACTAGCTAGCCTACCAAGCAGAATATCTCGTTAACTGTTTAATTATATAGAAAAAGGAACAGAGTGACAATCTGCACACAAAAATTTCAAAGTTATTGATAAGGTTGTAATCCAGTCCTTTCACAGTTGAGTTCTGAATGATGATGGGCATATCCAGTGACTCTTTAGGTGGCTTCTGTTGTGTGCCCATGGATATCAAGTTTAACCCTGTGTAAGGAAATCATTTCTGCTTTGAGGCACTTTGGCAACATCTTTCAACGCATTCAGTTTGGATTACAGGTGACAACATCCTTCCACATTTTTTTTGCTGCTGCGTCTTGTCCCATTTGGGGGGAGGTGGGCTTTGAATCAGTTTTTTGCTCCTGTCAATTGCCCAGACTAGTCCTTACAGTTTTCTTGAAAACGTTTTTGGAATAGGTTTGCCTTTGCCTCCTTCCTAGGCATCAGAGAGAGAGAGAGAGAGAGAGACAGGCCTAAGATCACCTTCCATGTTACTGTCTCAGAGGAAAAAATGTTTGTTACATTCCTTCCTTGGTGTGATTTAAATATGTTTGCAGCACTTGCAAAAGAGATTTCAAACAAAAAATCCATTTTTGTTAGTCCTTTTGCAGTATAATAACTTATAAACCTTCCTTTACCATCATGGTTAAAATACCTTAGAGATTTGCCTTGTTTAATACAGGTTTGTACCTATGGAAATGGGGGAGGCTGGTAGGCAAAAGAGGAGGGGGTAGAGGTTCTACTCTTTTATCATTTCTCTAGGAAACAGGGTTCAGAAGTAGCCCCTTGCCTACTGAGGTTAGCCAGTAAGGAAGTAAAATACTGCAGACAAAATGGTCAAGATTACGCAGTAGGAGGAAGATTCCTGTCAGAGCTTCCATCCTTCGTTCACACCTATGCTTCACTAAATGCCAATCTGTCATTAGCCATGGAGGGATGGAGCTGTGGGGAGATGGGGGAAACTGAAAGCAGTCTTCATGCCATCCTGAGACATTGCAAGGCTGCAGACCTGGGAATGGAATGCAACACCTAGCCATCTACCCAACCGTTGCAATGACAGTTACCAAAGCATCTTCTCTGAATATGAATGGACAATGGGGAGATAACAGGAGGGTGGACCAGAGAAGGGAAAGTTAACTAGGGAATATTCACGTGCAAACTCTTAGTTCTGGCTCTGCTTACTATAACCACTTGGCTTTTAGTAAAAGTAACCTTTTCGCTATCAAGAGTGTTTCTTTCCCAAGGGATGAAGCTGAGCCGGATCTGATAATTACTTTCAAACTACACTAGGAAAATGTGCCTGGTAGTCATGTTTATTGAAATTAATTGCTTATTCTAAATATACTGGTCATACTTGAAAACTAACTGAAAAGCAGAGTTGGAAGGTACCTTGGAGGTCTTCTAGTCCAACCCACTACTCAAGCAGGTGGCCCACACCATTTCAGACAGATGGTTGTCTAATCTCTTCTTTAAAACCTCCAGTGATGGAGCACCCACAGCTTCTGAAGGCAACCTGTTCCAATGGTTAATTGTTCTCACAGTTAGGAAGTTTCTCCTTAGTTCCAGGTTGCTTCTCTTCTTGATAGTTTCCATCCATTGTTTCTTGTCTTGCCTTCTGGTGCTTTGGAAAATGGGTTGACCCCCCTCTTCTTGTTGGCAGCTCTGAAATACTGGAATACTGCTATCATGTCCCCCCAGTCCTTTTTTTGACTAGATAGACATACCCAATTCCTGCAACCATTTTTCATATGGTTTAGCCTCCAGGCCTTTAATCATCTTTGTTGATCTTCTCTGCACTCTTTTCCAGTGTCTCAACATCTTTTTTATATTGTGGTAACAACAACTGGATGCAGAATTCCAACTGTGGTCTTACCAAGGCATTATAAAGTGGTACTAACATTGCATAGGAGAAAGCAGGATAAATACTCACGTAGAAACTAAAATACATGGAAAACCAATACAAATTTCTCAATACATTACCCTAAATAAACATGTTCTCTGGAAATTCATAGAAATGTACCTCTTTAATTTTACAAAAATATTTCTGAGTCATTCAAACTGTATAGGTTTATAACTTAATTATGTTAATAACTATTCTCATTTGGGATATATGCTCTCTTTCCTCCAAATGATTAGGAAGATCATGGCAATCATTTCTAATCTATGGATTTAGCAGTTTTTGGATGCTCCATAGTTAAAACAGGAAACAAAGGCCTAAGTAACTTAAACTCACTGCTTATAGATCCATCAGCTAAGCACACTTCATAGCTGTAGGTCTGGAAAGATGTCCCTGTAAGGTCTTGCCTCAGCAGTCCCTTCAAGGAAGCAGAACTCCTGAAACAGGCAGCATTTCGAAAGGAACTTTTATTGAGAGACAGTGATAGCAAAGAAAATAGGCAGGATCTGAAGTTCCTGTGCTAAAACATTAGATTAAAAGTTACTCATTCAAATGCCTCCCCACTGCTCAGTCCGACGCCAGCCAATCACCAGGTGTTGAATTACTGTGAGAACTTTACACTGGGAAGGTGATAAGAAGTTGTTCTCAGGCACCATGCTCTTGTCTTCTTTTGGAGCCGAGACAAAACAGTTGGCCCCAAGCCAATCCCCCCCTCCCTAGCCCAGGAAGATACATCAAAGTGAAGAAAGCAGGTGACAGGTCATAAAAATACCAGGGCCCCCTCCTTCTGCCAGAATGGTAATGTCCCTATAGGGATCTATGGGGACCTGACATGCTGCCCCCCCCCAAGAAAAGGAGAGATCCACCTGGTGTAAAAGCAAGTAGGAACGGGGAGAGACAAGAACAGGTTATTAATTAGATTTGTCTGGGTATTGAGCGTGGAAGCATTTGAGGAGCCTAACATGTTTCTTGTGGACCCATTTGTTTTTGGCCGAAGGGAGGTTTTTCTCAGCTACTAAGTATTGAGTTGCTCCATGGTGTTTTCTGGAGCCAAGGATTTCCTTAATTTCAAAATGTTGTTCTCCTTCCACCATGATGGGCTGTGGTGCAGGGGCAGCCACCGGCTTTAGGGGTGAGATTATCTCCAACTTTATGAGGCTACAATGAAACACTAGGTGGACTTGCCTTAAGGCTTTGGAGCTCAAGTTCCACTGTGACAGGATTTATAATACATGTTATGGGGAAGGGTCCGACAAATTTCGGCCCCAACTTTTTTAAGGGCCATAGAGACTGCATGAACCTTGTTGAAGGGTATACGTGATCCCCCATGTTAAATGGTTTAAGCTCCATTCTCTTTTTGTCTGCCTGTGCTTTGTAGGTAGCTCAGGTTTCATCTAGCACTTTTTGAACCATCGGCCAGGTATTTTGTAGCAGATTTATCCACTCCTTTAAGGATTGTATTGTGGGTTCACTGGCTGGCAGCTCTGGCATTGGGTTGAATTCCTGACAGGTGGCTACCTGGAAGGGAGTGAACTCTGTGCTTGAGTGCACAGCATTGCTATAGGCAACCTCTGTAAACAGCAGGAGGTCGGTCCAGTCGTCTTGTTGATAGTTAATAAAGCATCTAAGATATAGTTTCAGAACTGAATTCTTACGTTCCATCCTGCCATTTGTTTGGGGATGATGACTCGAACTCAGACCCTGGTCACTCTCCAAAAGGGCCAAAAATACTCTCCAAAATTTGGAGGTGAACTGGACTCCCCTGTCAGAGATTATACAACGTGGGTGATAGATGTGGTTGAGGAACAGTTTTGCCAGTGTTTGGCAGTGTTTTGGGAATCTTTTGTCATGGGATGAAGTGGACCTGTTTCAAGAACAGGTCGATGACCACCCATATGATGGGGTTTCCCACACTTTCTGGCAATTCTACTATAAAGTCCATAGAAATCTCTCTCCAGGGTGCTGAAGATTCCACTACTGCTGTAGAAGGCCTGGCGTTTTCCCTTGCCTCCATTTGACAGCTGCACAGATGGGGCAGCTGGCTACATAGCTCTCAATGTCTTTTTTGAGGGATGGCCACCAAAATCGTCTTTTCAGAAGATGTAAGGTTTTTACAAACCCAAAGTGCCCCGCTAGCCTTGATTCATGGCAGGTTTGCATGGTTTTAAGTCTCTGGCTGGCTGGAATGTACATCTTCCCTCCCAACCAGGGCAAAACCTTTGTGCATGGAGCAGGAGTCTTTATGGCTGAGGAATCACTCATCTTCAGTTAAGGCAGTAGTTCTCAACCTTCCTAATTCCGCGACCCTTTAATACAGTTCCTCATGTTGTGGTGACCCCCAACCATAAAGTTATTCCTAAAACCATCGAAAATATGTGTTTTCCGATGGTCTTAGGCCAGGAGTCCCCAACCTTTTGGACCTCAGGGACCACCAAGTTCATAATTTTAAATTTTGCGGACCACAAATATGAATCCAGTGTGCCGCTTGCTGAAGCACCTAGATTCCCAGTGACAGGATGGGGTCTTTCAGGCACTCTCCCTCCTCTCTCTCTCTCTTTCTCCCACTCTCTCTCTCTCTCTCTCTCTCTCTCTCTCTCTCTCTCTCTCTCATTTTCTCTCTCTCTCTCCCCCTCTCTTTCTCTCTCTCCCACTCTTTCTCATTCTCTCTTTCTCTCTCCCTCTTTCTCTCTCTCTCCCCCACTCTCTCCCTCTCATTCTCTCTTTCTCTCTCCCCCTCTCTCTTTCTCATTCTTTCTCTCTCCCCTCTTTCTCTTTCTCTCTTTCCCCCACTCTCTCTCATTCTTTTTCTCTCTCTTCCCCCTCTTTCTCTCTCTCCCCCTTTCTCTCTCTCCCCCACTCTTTCTTTCTCTCTCTTTCTCTCTCCTCCTCTTTCTCCCCCTCTCTCTCCCAGTCTTTCTCTCTCATTCTCTCTCTCTCCCCCACTCTCTCTCTCATTCTGATTCTCTTTCATTTTGTCTCTCTCTCTCTCATTCTCTCTCTGATTCTCTGATTCTCTCTCTTTCATTCTCTGTCTCTTTCTCTGTCTCTCATTCTCTCTCACTCTCTCTGATTCTCTCTGTCTCTTTCTCTCATTCTCTCTCTTTCATTCTGTCTTTCTCTCTCTTTCATTCTTTGTCTCTTTCTCTCTGTGTCTCATTCTGATTCTCTCTTTCTCTCTCTCTCATTCTCTCTTTCATTCTTTGTCTCTTTCTCTCTCTCTCTCATTCTGATTCTCTCTCTTTCTCTCTCTCTCTCATTCTCTCTCTCTCTCATCTCATGGGCCAGCCAGTGTCTTGGGGCTGAGAGGAAGTCAAGCATCTCCCTGAGAGACCGAGGACCGGAAGAAGTATGGGAGCGAAGCACTACTTGAATTTGTGTGGCATGAGCATTTGCCTTGGTATATTTGTGCCAACCAGTGGCCAAGGCAGCCCTCATTTCTCCGCTGAAAGTGCGGCATCAGGATTCTGCCTTGGTATATTTGTGGCGCAAGGCAGCCCTCATCTCCTGCTGCTTGGGACTCGGAGCGGTAAATGGTGACTGGTCCAGGGAGCAGCTGGATTTTGCTCTCCATTGTGGATGCCAGATTGGCCCCCTGCAAGCTCTCATCTCTTGAGGAGTGCTCCCTGAAGTGGCACTGGAAACTTTGGTCGGGCTCCTCAAGAGACGAGAGCTTGCAGGGGGCCAATCTGGTGTCTGCAATGGAAAGCAAAATCCAGCTTCTTCTCTCTGCTGTAAGGGCAGCATCAGGATTCCGCCTTGGTATATTTGCAGTGCAAGGTAGCCTTCGTTTCCTGCTGCTTGGGACTCAGAGCGGTAAACAGCGTCTGGTTCAGGGCCAATCTGGTGTCTGGATTAGAGAGCAAAATCTTGCTGCTCCCCGGATCAGATGCCATTTACCGCTCTGAGTCCCAAGCGGCAGGAGAGGAGGGCTGCCTTGCGCCACTGGCTGGCACAAATATACCGAGGCAGAATGCTGTTGCCGTGCAAATGAAAGTAGTGCTTTGCTCCCACAGCTTCCAGCCATCGCAAATGCAGCTTCTTCCTGCTTCTGCCACCCCCTCCCCCACCGCCACAACAGCACCATTCATTCCGGATGGTGAGGGCTGCACTCCTTTTTCCGTATTGCACCACCTGCAAAAATATGAAAATTTCTCCACGGACCACCAAAGGACCACCGGTTGGTGACCACTGTCTTAGGCAACCCCTGTGAAAGGATTGTTCGACCCCCAAAGGGGTCGCAACCCACAGGTTGAGAACCACTGAGTTAAGGCCTGCTTAAAGGCCAAGGTAGTGGCATTATTTGGGGAATGACCCCCCTTCCCTTGTGTTCTAGTGGTTACTCAAGTGACTAATTATGATGCTGGGAGGAAGGGTTTGACTATTTCTGGCTTTGCACTGTTGCACTGTGGGAGCCTTGATAGGGCATCCACCAGGAAATTCTTCCCCTAGTAAGTAGCGAAGGGTGAAGTTGAAACTTTGAAAGTATTGGGGCCACCCTACCTGTTTAGGGGACAGTTTTCTTGGGGTCTTTAGAGCTTCCAGGTTTTTGTGATCGGTCCACACCTGGAATGGAATCTTGTTCCCCTCCAGAAACTGGCACCAAATGAGAAGAGCCCATCAAACAACATAGGCCTCCTTCTCCCACACTGCACAATGTTGTTCAGTTTCAGTTGATTTTTGGGAGCTGTAAGTCCATGGCCATAGTTGGCACTATGTGTTCTCCTGCAGTAGGACAGCCCCGATGGCCACATTGCTGGCATCAACCTGAATGACAAAAGGCTTCTCTGGGTCCAGTTGCCTTAGTACCGGTTCAGTGGAAAAAAGTCTTTTTAACTTTTCAAATGCTGCTTGGCACTCCATTGTCCATTTTAGGGGTTGGCTGGGTTTTGTCTTGTTTTTGTTTTCAGCAAGGAAATGCTGCAATTATTTCCTCATGTAGGGAGGTGCCAAATCTAGCACCACCTCACCTTATCTGGGTCCATCTCCACCCCCTCATGGGAGATTTGGTACCCTAAGTAATCTATCTTGTCCTTGGAACTTGCATTTGGACAGGTTGGCTGCTTGGATTTTGTTTAAGTCTGCTTTGACCAACTTCATGTGCTCCACTTTTGTCTCGGTGTAAATTAATATGTCATCAAAGTATACCAAAAACCCCTTATATAGGTGTTCATGGAGAACCTCATTTATCAGCTGCATAAACACAGTGGGGGCTTCCTGTAGTCCAAATAGAAGCCCTTTAAACTGGAAACATCCTAGGGGGCAATTAAAAGCAGTCTCCCATTCATCCCCTTCTTTAATTCTGACCCGGTAGTAGGCCTCCCATAAATCCAGCTTTGAGAATATCATACTCTTGAAGAGGTGGGCCAGCATGTCTTTCATGAGGGGAAGAGGGTACAGTTTTCCTTGCACACTGCATTCAGACCCCTATAATCTATGCAGAAATGAAGAGATTCTTCTCCCAAAACAGTACTGGGGCAGCCACCTTGCGTCTAGCAAGTTGAATGAAGCCCTGCACCAGATTTTTATCTATAAAATTTCACAGCTCGTGCAGCTCCCTTGGAGTCATGGAATACAGCTTTGGTTTCGGTAGCCAACCCCAGGGATGATCTTGATGGCACAGTCTGCGGGTCGGTGGGGTGGGATTTCATCAGAGCTTTATTCGCTCTGATGAAATCAGAACACCTCGGTTAAGTTCTGGTATTCTTGGCACATGCCCTGCAGCTGCTCTTCCTTTGATGTGGCCACCACTTCTCTGCGGGGCTTGCCTCTTGCTTTGGGGCTGCTGCTGCAGGGGGCTCACTATCCTTTTGGGAATTTCAGAAGCCCCTCTTTCCAGTCCAGCTGCGGGTTCCACTTTTTTAGTCAGGTTAGCTCTAGGATGAGAGGCCATTCCATGCCTGGCGCTATGACAAAAGGTGGAGTCTCAGAATGATCTTTCATTATTAGCTCCAGGGATTGGTGGAGACTGTGGCCAGGAACCGCCCTGCGATGGACCCATCTAACTGGCAGAAGGGATCAGGTTCTTTAGTCTCCTCAGGACGACCTCCAACTTCCCCAACAGGGTTGGGCTCATAAGATACCTGATGCATCCCGAGTCCACTAAGACTTTCTTCCCTAAAACAGTTCTATGGGCAGGGTGACCAGTTTGATTAGCCCACTTACCAGGGGGTCATCACCAAAGTTGCTATACAATGGCCCTGGTTCTTCTTCTGATGGGGTCGGAGTTCCCCCTCCAGGTTTTGGGGAGGGACAGAATTGCACAATCTTGGCGCTCTTCAGGGCTTTGTCATTTGTGTGTTGTGGGCAATCTCCTTTCTTAGTTGGAGTCTTTGTGTGGCATTCAACAGCTCTGTGACCCTTCTTTCTGCACTTGAAACAGGGCATCGAATGTGGCAGCACTGCCTGGGGCTTGGCAACTTCTCTCTTTCTCTTGGGTGGAGAATGCTTCCACATTCTGCTGGAGTGGTATTGATTTCTCACTTGGTTGATTTCGGCTTCTTCTGCAAGGATGTACCAGTCGTGGAGGCGATTCGGGGCACCTCTGGCAAAGCAGGCATGGTACAAGTCATCATTCAAGCCATCCTTAAATCAGCTTATTAGGATGTCTTCCAGCCAGTTTAGGTGGCAGGCTAGGCCCCGGAGTTCTTTGGTGTACTCAGGTAGCAGGCAGCAGTCCTGCCTTATGGTTTTGATCCAGTCCCTAGCCTTGCAACCAGCCAGGGGTTCCTTGAATCTCCATCTCAGCACCATTTTGAAACAGTTGACGCTGCAGAGTTCTGGGGCATTGGCATTATGGAGAGTCTCCATCTACTGGGTGGCAGTGCCTTCCAGAGCCAGGGTGACAACACTGACTCTAACTCCTTCAGTGGGAAAGTGTCATCCATATTCCTCTATGTAGGTGAGGACATGGGTGAGGAAGAATCCCATTTGCTGGGGCTGTCCATTAAACTTGATGCCCAGAGGGGGTGCTTTTTTTTTTTTTTTTATAAATATATATATATAATTTTTATTCATAAGCATTTTTGAAAAACAGTGCCTTGTCAGGATAAAATTTAAAAATAGGGCAAAACCAAAGAAAAATTGATAGTAAATCTTAACACACAAACTAATAACAACAATAATAATATAATACCAGTAATTATAATAGTATAACCAAAAAAGTGAACTAAATTCCTTCTTGCATTAGCTTATTTACATTTTTATCCCTTACTATAGTTATAGTTTTATACATCTTTATTTTCCATACTAACAATTATTAACATTCATACTCTTACTTTCTCTCATTTCTACCTCTTGTCTCTATCCATTCATAAAATTTATTCCATGTCTGATAAACCAAATAATCCTTTGGTCCTTCCTCCCCAGTCCTCCTTCTTCCCCATGCCAACAGACCATCTCAGCTTCATGGGGTCTTTCATGGTAGCCGCTTCCTCTGCCATTCGCTGGAGGCTGTGTCAGGTTGAGCCTTGGTGAAGGTCTCTCCCCAGCATTCAACCAGTGCTCGCTGCCCTGGTTTGACATCACATGCATGGTCCCCATGGTAGGGCAGGTGCCTCTCTGGGTTGACCACTTTGCAGATACTGCCTAATGTAAGGTCTTGCCTCAGCAGTCCCCTGAAGAAAGCCGAACTCTGGAAACAGGTAGCATTTCAAAAGGAACTTTAATTGGGTAACAGTGATAGCAAAGATAATAGGCAGGATCTGAAGTTCCCATGCTAAAACATTAGGTTAAAAGTTACTCATTCAAATGCCTCTCCACTGCTCAGTCTGACATAAAGCCAATCACCAGGTGTTGAGTTGCTGTGAGGTCAAAAAAATACCAGGGTCCCCTCCAGAATGGCAGTGTCCCAATAGGGATCTATGGGGACCTGACAGTTCCAGTATTACGATCCACACAGGGAACTAAACCTACCAAAAACAGAACTATAAAAGACAGACTAGGAATTCAAACTAAAATAAGCAAGAATATGGTAAGAGAACACCTGTCCACTGGAAAACAGCCAATGCGGTTCCCATCTTCAAAAAAAAGGGGGGGGGAACATCCAGGAAACTACAAACCAATCAGCTTGATATCAATACCTGAGAAGATCCTGGAAAAGATAATCAAGCAACAGATCTGCAAACACATGGAAGAAAGCAAAATTATAATCAGAAGCCAACATGGATTCATCAAAAACTGATCATGCCAAAGAAATCTTATTTCATTCTTTGACAAACTGATTAAATTAGTGGATTGGTGAAATGCTGTGGACACAGTATATTTGGATTTTAGTAAAACATTTAATAAAGTAGACCACAATCTGTTTTTGGGGAAGCTAGAAAAATGTGAGATAGAAAAACAAATGTACAGATACACAATAGGTGAAATCTGGCTCAATAGGAGTAACTGCAAGAAGGATTTTGAAATCCTCATGGACAATGATTTAAATATGAGCCAGCAAAATGCTGCAGCCACCAAAATAGCCAATGCAATCCTAGACTGCATTAAGAGAGGGATAGATCGACAATCATATGAAGTTTAGTACTGCTTTATAATGCCTCCTATCTACCAAATGAAATTCAATGTAGAGAAAAGTAAAGTCTATCACTTAGACAAGACAAACCAAAAGTACATATATAGATTGGGTGAAACCAGGCTTAATAGCAGTAACTGTGAGAGGGATCTTGGAGTCTTAGTGGACAATCAATGAAATATGAGCCAAAAGTGTGCAATCCTAAACTGCATTAACAGAGGGATTCAATCAAGATCACATGAGGTACTAATACCACTCTCTAAAGTCTTAGTAAGAGCACACCTAGAATACTGCATCCAGTATTGGTCACTACACTATAAAAAGATGTTGAGACTCTAGAAAGAGTGCAGAGAAGAGCAACACAGATAGTTAGAGGACTGGAGACTAAAACATATGAAAAACAGTTACAGGAACTGGGCATGGCTAGTCTAGTGAAGAGAAGGACTAGGAGAGTCATGATAGCAGTGTTCCAATATTTGAGGGGATGTTACAGAGAGGAGGGAGTCAACCTGTTTTCCAAAGCACCTGAAGGCCAAACAAGGAATAATGGATGGAAACTGATCAAGGAGAGATTCAACCTAGAAAGGGAGGAAGGAATGCAGGAGAGGGGGAAGGATGGATGTTTCAGATGCTATTGGTATATTATGATTTATCAATTGTTCATATCTTATTATTTATGATTGTATCTTATGATTTATGATCTATGAGTTATCACTTTGTTGTTTGCATGTACTCATGAGAGCTTATCTCCCGGAGACAAATTCACACTTGGCCAATAAAGAATTCTAGTTCTGTTCTGTTCTGTTCTTTCGTTTGCTATTATGCCTTTGTACTTTGGGTGTGCATGTGTGCATGTGTGTGTAAGGAAGAAAGAGAGAGGGGGGAGAGAGGGAGAGAGAGAGGGAGGGAGGGAGAGAGAGGGGGGAGTCTGTCTTTGATCAGTGTTTGGCTTCTGTCAAATGTCTAGGCAAGTCCCTGCACTTTTCTTGTGAACTTTTTCATAAGTGCCTTGCCATTGCTTCCTAGGTATCAGAGACACACACAGAGAGAGAGATACTGGCCCAAGATAACCTTTCTACCTTATTGTCTCAGAAAAGCAATTGTTTGTTACATTCCTTTCTGGGTGTGCGACCATGCATTATCTGTCCAAAGAAGGATAATTTAAGCCTGATAATCTGTGCCTTGAGTGAAAACTGCGCATTAATTTGTTAAAGCTTGAAAAAGCATCTATATTCAGCACTTGCAAACAGATTTAAAACAAAAATCCCCATTCTTTTTTTATTGAAAAGGTTTTCAAATACAAATTTTTCCCCCTTTTTCCCCCCCCCTCCCCCCCCCTCCCTAACCCCCCCTCCCCACCCTTCCCCCCCTGTGACTTCTTCGTAACAAAAAAAAACCCTAATTCATAACAGATTACTTACTCCCTCCTCAAAATACTGACCTTTACTTACTAAAAGTATTATAAATCCCCCTTTATCCATACATTTCAGAAAAGAAGAAGAGAAAAAAAAAAAAAAAAAACAAACACATTATACTATAACTATTATAAAATAACTTCTAATTTAACATAATAGTGTTTTATATCTATACATTATTGCAACAATTCAAAACCACCTTCCACTTTAAAACTATACGATAAGTCCTACTTTAATAACATTTCAAAGCGGACTCCCCATAAAATCTAATTTAACATTTATTCCACTCTATCCATTTCCTCCACTCCCCTAAATGTATCACTTAAAAATCCCTTTTCTTAAACTAATCAGTCTGTAGCTAGCTTATTCACCCACTGTCTTACAAATTTACCATACACAACAATTCTTGATATCTTTAATTCACTGCCCACACTACTTAAATATATATATATATATATATTCCATTATATCTAAATAAAAAAAGAAAAGACAATAACTTTAAATTTATAGTCCATATAATATCTTCTTGAAGTCTTTCCACTGGATTGTTAAAACCAACATCCATAATAGGGTAACATAGCTTGCTGATGCAACAGTTTATTCAAGATCTCCAATCATATCTGCCCCCATCAGTAGTAAACATCTTCTTATATATATAAAAGTAAAAACAACCACCCGAGTGACATTATAATTATATTCCATATAATAATAATTGTGGGTTTCATCAGGATTATTAATTTCCATCATCGTATTGGGTAACAACCCGATCTTCTGCATGTCCCAATGTGATTCTCTTGCCTTATAATTCAAGATAATTATAATACATTTATCAACACAAAAAGAAGTTTCAAAGTAGATAATTCAAAACCATCAATTTGAGGCTCTTTCCATGTCCCAAAATTACGGCAATGCAGAGATCTGCCACTATCCTCAGGATGATATTGACCAATATGTCGCCTCCTCTATGTTTTCACATAATCATTCATATTTTAAAATCACTGGCTTCACTGTTGCTTGGGTTAGAAATTTCTATTTTTGTACAACCTATTTCTTTTTTTGTTTTCTTTTTGTGGGTTTGACTTCCATCCTAATTTTTTGTGTCTCGCGTTTCTTTTTTATCCCTTGTATATCCTCTAATTGGTTTCCATGCTTGTCCTTGCCTTGATAAGTCATCACATTAAAATCAGATGGCACTTCTCTCAAATTTGTAGATAATCCAGCTGGGGTATCCGATAAATCCAAAGGCAATTTATCTGGTACAGTCTCTATCTTTAGTTCCAGCTCCTTCTGCTTATCCTGTATTATATCTGAAGACGTTAAATTCATTTTCAACCTATTTTGATAAAATTCTTCCGCTCTTTCAACAGTATTTAACTGGTATCTTTCTCCTTGATATCTCAATATAATACCAACTGGGACGTCCCACCGGAATTGAATATTTCTCCTTTTTAACTCAGACACCAGAAAGCCAAATTTCTTCCTTTCCATTAATATCTTAGGTGGGAGTTCCTTGTAAATCCAAATCTTTCTTCCATACAATTGCAAATTAGAATTGAAGGAATTTTGCACAATTTTATTCCTAATTTCTTTATCTGAAAAATAGATTACCACATCTCTAGGCAATTGCCTTTGCTTGGCAGTCCAGGAGTTTATTCGATAAGCTCTGTCAATCCTACAAAACACTTCCTCAGGTTGAATCTTTAAAATCCCAGCTAGAAATTCAGAAGATATTTTCCTTAAGTCATCTCTGTTATTTTCCTGCAAACCTCTAAGTCTTATTGCATATTCTGTGAAATTATATTGTATCTTTAGAACCTCTTTTTCAATCCTCTGTTGCAGATTTTCTACATTACCAGACTTTTGGTCAGCATCCATTTTAAATTTTTCTTCTGAGCTATAATCCTGAATATTTAACAAATCATTTTCAATTTTTTGAATTCTATTGTCCAATTTATCTTGAATTTCATCCATTTTTGACTCTAGTAAATTAGTATTTGTATCCAACCGAATCATGAATTCTGACACTTTTAAAATTTTTTGCTGCAAAAAGTCAAACTTGGATTTCACCAATTCCTTAGTTTCCTGCTTAAATTTTTCAAGTTGCTGATTCACAATCTCATCCCTTCTTTCAATCTCCTCTAAGAGAAATTCTATTATATTAAAATCAGGTTTCTGGGACTGAAGAGTTAAAACTTGTTCCCTTAAATTCTTAGTGGGGGAATCCCCCCCACCTATTTGTTTGTCTGACTTCACAAGCCTCAGTGCCATGTTTCCGCCTAAGCAGGCTTTGTTAGAAGAAAAAAAAAAAAAAAAACAAGACAAAAGACTTCCAGCCAGCAACAGTCAGGCCTCCAGGGGAAAAAGAGAAAAACAAAAACAGGAGCGGAGTTTTGTCTACAAATGTAGCCAGTGGTATTTATTCCGCTACATTATAATAATAAAAAACGGAAGAACTTTCCCTCTCAAACTCTTCTCCAGCCGCGGCAGACGCCATTTTAAAAAAAAACTTTTTTCCTCTTTCTCTTCCTCTATTCTCTTAAGTAATTTTTAAAAGATAAGTAAAATACTTGCGCTTCAGTATTACAGGTCCAGCTCACATTTTCTTTGAGTAATCTGTCAAATTCGCAGGCTTGCTTTTGACGCCTGGCTCTGCATTAGCAGAGGTCTCCCAAAGCCCGGAGCAGCGGCTGGGGATATGGGGCATCTCATCCGCTCCATCCCAAAAGTAAAAGAAAAACTTTTGGGACTCTGCAGAGAGTTCTACCCACCCCTGCCGGCTCTATCTCCGTTTCCTCATGGGAACGGAGTTTTTTCGAGCCGCCGTTCCGTTGTGAAGGCGGCTCTGACAGGCAGTGGAAGCTGACGATCCCAAAGGAACGTCTGGCGGCGGCCAGCAGCAAACAGGAAGTCAATAAGCCTGATAATCTGTGCCTTGAGTGAAAACTGCGCATTAATTTGTTAAAGCTTGAAAAAGCATCTATATTCAGCACTTGCAAACAGATTTAAAACAAAAATCCCCATTCTTGTTAGTCCTTTGTCAGTATAATAACTTATAAACCTTCCTTTACTATCATAGTTAAAATACCGTAGAGATTTGCCTTGTATGATACAGGTTTGTACCTATGGAAATTGGTGTCAAGATTGAACCATTTTGCATCTTTCAAAACTAATGCTTTTCAATTTGCCAGGGAACTGAGGGGAGGGAAATGGAATGTGGAGAATGTATGCAAAGATCGTGAGAGCATGGAGCCAGCAAGGTCACCGCTGCAGGTGCTGGAGAAAGAGATGGACCATTCTCATAACAAAAGACTATCTCATAATTGGATAATGTGATCAACCAGGGATGGGGAGAAGGAGAAAGTATTGTTTAACAGGGCAAGCATTTGCAGGGGAAACTAGAGCTGGTTTCGTTTCTTCAGTATCAACATGGTGTATCCAATAAAGCTTTACTTTTGGGAATTCAATTCTCCCGAGAGTATTTCCCTGTTTTGGGTTCGCTAATTGGACAATTGACAATTGGGATGGATAGAAGGAAGAGGAGGAAGAGAAAGACTACTTTTCCTACTGAACTAGGAAAATGTGCCTGGAAGTCATATTTGCAGTTGGCGGGAGATAAATAAAGGCTGACATTTTCTGTTTCTGCTCTCTATAAGTGGTTGAAACCCCTTTCAGGTCACAGAGCAACTAGGCAGTGTAAATCAAGCCACTACGACCATCCCTTTGGAATGAGCTGCTTATACTAAGTGTACTGGTCATCCTTGGAAATAGATAATATCCAGTAAATATCCCAGTATGTTAGCACCCTGTCCCCACATCTTTCCATGTTGCAAAAAGTGATACTGGAAAAGATAATCAAAAAACAGATCTGCGAACATCTAAAAACAAATAGTTAAACTAGAAGCCAGCATGGATTTGTTAAAAACAGACCATGCCAAATCAATCTTATTTCATTCTTTGACAAAGTGACTAAGTTAGTAGACCAGCAAAATGCTGTGGACATAGTATACTTAGATTTCAGTTAGGTATTTCGCAAAGGAGATCACAACTTCTTGGTAAACTAGAAAAACGTGAGATTGCCATCAGAAATTGTGGGTGCTTCATCACTGGAAGTTTTTAAGAAGAAACTGGATAGTCACTTGTCTGAAATGGTGTACGGTCTCTTGCTTGAGCAAAAAATGGTGTACGGTCTCTTGGTTGGACTAGAAGACTTCCAAGGTCCTTTTCAGCTCTATTCTGATTGATTCATTTTGGGGAGAAACCTCCTGCAGTCTGTATGGCAAAAGTTTGTTCAGTTCTGACTCTCTGCCTACCCAAAATTTTCATTTTGACTGAAGAAGTTACTTGGATGAGAAACAAAATGTCTCAGTTTTAATAAACTTCGGTCCAGTTGCCATGATTTAATCTTTTTAGATAAATTGGTTGATTTTCACTGACCAGCTCTGCATTATGCAAACCTTTAGCTATTTCATACCCCTTCTTTAGCCATTTTAGTGGTGTTCCTTTCAGATATTTGTTTCCTTCTTTCCTTCAATTTGTTTTTCATTAAAGACTGGAAGTCTTTAATATATAGTTCCCCAAATCCTGACCTGCTTAAGCATTTAATCACTTGTATCACTCTCCACCAATCAGATCAAGCCTTGATCTTGAGCTGCATTATAAAACCTTCAGTTTCTAATCAGTATACTCAAATTTCATTTAAATAGGTTTTCACTCAGTCCACATTCTTTCCCTCAAACGCCCATTCAACCCCCTGCAAAATTTTATTTTTTATTTATAAAATTTATTGGAGCAATGTGGTGGCCTAGAGGTGAAGATGCTTGCTTCCAATTGGGAAGGTTGAGACTTCAGTCCTAGTCAGTGACAGATGTTTCTTTATCAGGGCGCAAAGAGAAAATATCTGCTGCAAACTCCGTGTAGGCATCAAGAAGGGCATCTAGCCAGTAAACGCTCATTCAGTCACCCCAACTCCATCTCTAACTCCACCCGGAATCAAGGGATTACAAGAAAGGAAAACATTATTAGCCACCTGTCTTACCACAAGGTAATACTTGGTGGGTTATAATCAGAGAAAATAAAAATAGAAAAATATTAAAATAAAATAAAATAATTAAGGTAAAAATATTAAAAACATAAATAAATTAATACCCACGAACACTATGATCTAATTACAGATGGGGAGGGTGGGGGCAGGATGTGGGAGAGATGGAATCTATTGTTAATCGATCAACCACCTCCATTGTGATGCTCCCCCATTGGGGCCCCAAGCTAACTGGCAGAGTCAGTTCTTCAGGCCCGCAACGAAAGGATAGGAGGGTTAGGGTGACTTTACACCAGGGGGCAAGATGTTCCAGAGGACAGATGCAAGAGCAGAAAAGGCCCTTCTCCTGGACCCCACTAGCTAGAACAATCGGGCCGACAGGGCCTACAGCATGACAGGGCCTCCTCTACTGGCACGGGTGGGATGAACCAATCCCAGTGGGATGAGACGGTCTCTCAAATAGCTTGGACCCATGCCATGAAGGGCTTTAAAGGTGAATACCAATACCTTGAATTGGACCTGGAAGCAGACAGGCAGCCAATGCAGATTACGGAGCAGTGGTATTACATGGGCCATCCCTCAGACTCCAAGAATTGCCCATGCCACTGCTCGCTGCACCAGCTGCAGCTTCCAAATTTGAAAAATATACTACATTGTTTCCTTCTTGGAGAATTGTATGATTTTCCTTTAAGGCAGTGCGTATTTTATAGCTTCTCAACTACCAAATTACATTTGGTACAATTACAACACAGGATAAATACCCACATAGAAACTAAAATACATGGAAAACCAATACAAATTTCTCACTATATTACCCTAAACAAACTAGTTTTCTGGAAATTCACAGCAACGTCCATTAATACACAATATTTTATTTTTAGAAATTCATTATTTCTGGGTTACTCAAACCATATAGATTTATAAAGTAATTACATTAATAATTATTCTTACCTGGGTTATATGCTCTCTTTCCTCCAATTGATTAGGAAGATTATGGCAATCATTACGAATCTGTGGATTCAGCAGAGTTTTTTGATGCTCCATAGTAAAAACAGGAAAGAAAGGCCTAAGGAATTTAAACTCACTGCTCAGAGACCCATCAGTTAAGCACACTTCATAGCTGTAGGCCTGGGAAGATGTCCCAGTATTAGGATCCACACACTTCTCTTGCAAATTTGGTCCCATCGGAAAATTCGATGCAGAATGAGAACTTCCTAAGAACTTCTTTCGCTTCTGAAACTTGGTTGCAATAAACACAGTAACAGAAAGCAGAAAAATGGATGAGATGGCAACCAAACAGATAATCAAATACAGTGTTAGAGTATGATCTCCCTCCTGTAGGACTTCATCCTTAGGATTATCCATAATTTTCATGTAAGGATCAGAGAAGCCATCCACTAGAAGAATTCTTAGGGTCGCAGAGACAGACTGAGGAGGATGCCCATTATCCCTAACTGCCACAATAAGAGTGTGTTTGAAACTGTCTCGGATATTCACCGGCCTCATGGTTTTCACTTCCCCATTCTGAGTCCCAACAGTGAAGAGACTCGGATCTGTGGCCTTCAGCAACTGATAGAAAAGCCAAGAATTCTGCCCTGAATCTCTGTCCACTGCCACCACTTTGGTGACTAGGTAGCCTGTCTCTGCTCCCCTGGGAACCAGATCATTTGATGGAGAAGTACTGTTCTGAAGAGGGCAGAGGATGAAGGGGGCATTGTCGTTTTCATCCGTGATAAGAACTCGGACCATCGTTTCTGAGCTCAGGGGAGGTGAACCCTTGTCTACAGCCCTCACCATCACCTGGAAATCTTGTATATCCTCATAATCTATAGATCGAATGGCATACAAGTTCCCAGTTTCAGAGTTGATGGAGATGTAAGATGATGCAGGCTCTTCCCTGATCTTTCCAAACAAAAGAGAGTAGGTTACTTTGGCATTCTGTTCTGTGTCCACATCTGCAGCATGGACTGATCCGATGAGCAGTCCTGGAATGTTGTTTTCTCTTAAATGCAAATTGTAGAAACCTTTTTCAAACATTGGAGGGTTATCATTGATGTCTGAAAGTTGAATGCTAATAACTGTGATTGAAGTGAGTCTGGGAGAACCTTGGTCGGTGGCTGTGATGGTGATGTTATAATGTGACATTTGTTCTCTGTCCAATGGCTGTTGCGTCACAAGCTGATAATAATTGTTCTCAGTCAGTTTTAGTATAAAAGGCAGGTTTTTCTCAGTGCTGCAGGTAGTTCTGCCATTGTCTCCGGAGTCTTGATCTCTGATGCCAAAAAGTGCCACCAGTGTTTCCGGGGGAGAATTTTCTGGTAAAGGATTAGTGGTGGATGATACAATTATTTCTGGAGCATTGTCATTCTCATCTTCAATGTCAACAAGAACTTTACAGTAAGCAGACAATCCCCCTCCATCTGTGGCTTTGATACTGAGTTGATATTTACTGTTTATTTCATAATCAATTTTCCCTACGAGTGTAATTTCCCCAGTATGATTGTTTAACCTGAATGATCGGAGTACATCTGCTGGTGCTTGGCTAAAAGTGTAAATGATGTGAGCGTTGGATCCAATGTCTTTGTCAGTGGCTTCAACTTTAGCAACCAATGAACCTGGATGACTATTTTCCATTAGCTGCACTTTATACACTGTTTGTTCAAATTGGGGCACGTTATCATTGATATCCAGAATATCAATAATTATCTGTGCTGTGCCAGTTCTCCTTGGGATCCCTCCATCCACAGCTTCCAGAGTGAGAATAAACTGAGGGATCACCTCGCGGTCTAACGGTTTTGCCAAAAGCAGTTCTGAATATTTGCTGCCATCATTTTGACTTTGTACGTACAGCTTAAAATATTCGCTTGTGCTAAGTATATAGTTCTGGATAGCATTTTTTCCTTTGTCTAAATCGTGGGCTGTCTCCAAGGGGAAACGTGCATTTATGGGAGTCTGCTCAGGTATTTCAAAAAGGAATTGATTCTGAGAGAATATAGGGGAATTATCATTGACATCTTCTACCTGAACTTCAATTTTGAAGAATTGAAGAGGATTTTCCAGCAAAATTTCAGAGAATAGAGTGCAAGGATCACTCAGACCACACAAAGCTTCTCGGTCAATTTTATCCCTCAATATTATATTTCCAGATTGGGGATCCAGCTGGAAATCCTGCCTGGAACTCTTAGAAATCAACTGTGCTCTGCGAGCAGAAAGCTCCTTCACATCTATTTTCAAATCTTTTAGCACATTTGCTACTATTGATCCAGCTTTCTTCTCCTCAGGCACTGAATAGCGGAATGGTTCACACAACATACCAGAGCTACATAGAGAAATAAAGAACAAGACAACTTGCCTGCTAGGACGAGAGACTTCCATTTTCCCATCCTCTTTCAGGGAAGGTCATGCATTCAATAAGATTCTTTGTAAAGCAATTCCTATAGTTTCCTTTATAGTTGTGATCAGAATCCAATGGGAATTATTTTTTTGGTATTCATACTGGAGTATTTTCTTCGGAAATTTCTCGAGAGTTAATTGAAAGCTGTTGCCTTTTGTTCTGAGATTCCTTTGTCTAATGACTGGATCATTCTGAAATAAATGAATCCCTCCTTTTACTGTTTGGTGCAATAGTACCACCTTGTGTATAAAGTAAAATATAGCACTGAATTTCTGAAACTCCTTTGAAAAGGGCATTTATTTAAAGTACAGAAAAGTGTGTGCATCTTTTCAAAAGAACAAAATGAGAAACCTTGTGGAGAGAATCGCTGCGGCCCGTGCGTTGAAAGGGGAGCAGGAACCACTGCAACGGCCTCGTGTGTCTGCGCGCCCATGGCACTATCGAGAAACACGAGACCATTTTTCCCAACAACTGGGACAGATGTAGAAGAGGGACAGACCGCTTGGATTGAATGAGCCGAATCAAGTTGCGAATGCTTTCCGCCCTGTCCGGTGAGAGGGAGACCTGGCCCCGAACAGAGTCGATCACCGCCCCCAAGTGTTGGAGAACAGTGGTCGGGTGAAGGTGACTCTTTGGGAAGTTGACCGAAAACCCGTGGTCCTGAAAGTAACCGATGACAAGATCCAGGTCCCGAGATGCTTGGCTTCTGGAGGAGGACAGGACTAGAATGTCATCCAGATAGCACAACACCCGCACAGGTAACATTCGGAGAGCAACCGCCACCACCGCCACCAATTTTGTGAAAGTCCTTGGAGCAGATGACAAGCCGAAGGGCATTGCACAGTATTGATAATGGTCCTCCCCAATTTGGAAACGTAGGTATTGGCGGTGGGCTGGGAGGACCGGAACGTGTAGATACGCCTCCTTGAGATCGACAGACTGGAGGAGGTCGCCCCGTCGCACTCCAGCAAGGATGGACCCCAGGGAGTGCATCTTGAATCTGCGGTAGCGAACCGACAGATTCAACTGCTTCAGATTTAAAATGGCTCTCCAACCCCCTGAATGTTTTGGGACCAAAAAGAGAGTCGAATAGAAGCCCTTGCCTTGCTGATCCAGTGGAACAGGTTCTATTGCATGGATAAGAAGCAGGTGGAGAACTTCCTTCCACAAGAGAGCCTCCTTGTCGGGGGACAGGTGGGTCGGGCAGCAGACATAGCGAACCGGCGGACATCCCAGAAACTCGATGGCCAGGCCTTGAGAAACCATCCAAAGGATCCAGGCGTCTTTGGTTGAGCGTTCCCATTGGTGGCTGAAGAGTTGAAGGCACCCTCCAATGGGATCCTGCAATCTGTAGTCATTTTCTTTGATGGGCCTGGCGGAAGCCCGCTCCACGGAAGGGGCGTCTGGAGCTGCTGGTCCTGGATCTGTCTCTAAAACGCTGCCTGTCTGACGAGCGGTCGGTTCCAGGAAAAAAACTGCGCTGTGAATAGGGACCGTAGCGCCTTTCCGGTCTGCGGTACAAAGATGCTGGCATCACCTTCCTTTTGTCCTTGTCCTCGACCAAGACGGGGTCTAGGGCAGGACCAAAGAGGTTCGGGGCCTTATAAGGGGCCGCCGCCAACTTCCATTTTGCTCTGGCATCAGCTCTCCAATTTCTGAGCCAAAAAAGCCTGCGAGATGTCACAGAAGAGGCCAAGGCCCTCGAGGCGAACTTCACCGAGTTTAATGAGGCATCCGCCGAATATTCGGTGGCAGCTACAATTTTATTTATGTCCTGGTGAAGACGTGTGTCTTCAGGCGGCAGTCTCTCTTGAAGTTGCTTCAGCCAAAGCAACATGGCTCTATTAAAGAACGACATGGCAGTCGCAGTCTTAATAGTCCAAGCCAGGGACTGATGTTCCTTACGAAAGGAGAGTTCAGTTTTTCTGTCCTCCGCTTTAAGAACGTCCAAGGCGTCCGAAGACAAGATAGAAGAGGAAGAGAGACTTGCAATCGGAGGATCAACCACAGGTAAGGATAACAAGGTGTCCAATTCCAGAGCTCCACAGTACAACTTTTTGTCCAGGCTAGTGGGGCCCATTAAGGAGCCCGGCTGAGACCAAGGGGACTGTAAGACATTGGAAAAAAGCTGAGGGCAGGGAATAAAGTCCTTCCCTGGTTTTGATGATGAAAACAAGGCCTCAGGGGGGGCTGCAGAAGAGGACGGTTCAGCAGGCGGGGCTCCCATATTGGTTGTCTCGGGCTTTATGAAGCAATGATTGAAATAAAGAAGGTCGGAACAAGCCGGAGAAGGCAGGAATGTCCGGTGTAAGACCCTCATCTTCTGAGAATTCCAACTCCTCAGGCAGCTCCTCCCCCTGGTCGGAGTCCCCAGAAGAGGCGTGAGCCAACCTCGATGGGGACCTGGAGCGAACAGGTACATTGAAGTGATAAGCAGAAGGTGGGGCTGGAAGAGGTTGCTGAAGAGCGGATTGCTGAAGTCCCGCAGCCAACAGAGAGGAAAGAGCATTCGAGAACGCTGCCTGGAAGTCCACCTGGGGGGCTAGCATTTGTCCATCTGGTCCCCGAAGCCCTGCAGCAGTCGGTGTAAAGGTCGCCTCCGCCCGACGGGAGGATGGAACCTGGCGTTCTGTCAGACCCACAGCCGAAACATCGGGTAAGGACAATGAGGTCCTTCTGGAGAGACCACGATGAAGCACAGGCGGATCCTCAGCTGAGGAACTGGCACGGTCTGGAGCAGGGTCCGTTCCGAGAGTAGTTGAAGCGTCAGGAACCAAATTGTGACCCTGCTGAAGCGGCTGTTGATCAGTGGCGAAGACAGAAGCCAACGTGGCCTGTCTGGCCCTATCACACTGCCTCTCGAGCGCTCTATGGCGACGCTGGGCGTCCTTTTCTGCCGCTGACGAATGTCTGTGCTGGCGAGATTCAGCAGATGTGGAAGTAGACCTCCCCCGCGAATTAGGTCTGTGCTTGGATGGGGCCCTAGGTGGAGTGGGCTCCCGCTCCGAGTCAGAGGACAGGTAGGAGTCCGCCATCCAGAAGGTAAGTCTATATACAATAATAATCAACTTTTCTTTTTTTCTTTCTTTTTTTTTTTAAAAAAAACAGCAGGAACTATGTACAAAAGACACCAGTCGTCAGAATGGTGAGGGGTGTGTGTGCGCTATAGGCAATAAGGTAGCGCAGGTGACAGGTGCCAAGGGAACCCCCAGGAGTTAGTCCAAGAACTTCCTCAGAAAGGGATAAGGCAAGCCCTTTGGTCCCAACACAACAGGGACAGCAATCAAGGCAGAGGCCGTAAATCAAAGGAAAGGTTCCGTAGGTAAAGTCCTTCGAGAAGGCAATTAAAACTCAGCCGCAGGGGGGAGGTCGAAGGCTACGAGCCGGGAGATCAAATAAAATGGCCGCCGGAGCAAACGGCAGTCTCAAAATGGCGCTCCCAGATCACAGGCGGCAGAGGACAGCAACGCCTGACACAGAGTGGTCGTCACAGGCCAATTAATGCCACCACGATAGCGCCCGCCACTCCAAACCCGGCTCCAATACACTGAGGGCACCGCCCGGAGGACGGATGCCCATCTCGCTCACCACCAGCAGGGCTCAGGATACCGCTGGAGTCTCCGTAGATCGATAAACGAAGCGTCTTCACAGCGCGGGAAAAGCGGCCGGGAAAGGAGGCAGCCGAACCAGCTATTTTTAGCCTCAACACACTGACGCCGATATCACATCAGAGCCTGCAGGGCAAACCATGCAGGGCTCCGGAGCCGCCCTTACGAGAGCCGAAGAAATAAAAGCAAAATAGAGGTGGGGGGGGGTGAATAAGCTATCCGCAATCCCTACGCTCACACCGGCGGCTAGAAATGGAATCATTTCTCCCCGTCAGAAATCCCCGGGGAGAACGGACTGGAGCCCCAGCGCCGGTTCCTGCACCCTGCAGCTTCCCTTAAACAGGCTCTCACCGATAAAAAAAACACTAATAAAAATAAAGGAAAGCCTAAACGCCAAAGAAGAAGAACAGTAGAATTGTGCACGAAGAGAGAAAAAACACACCAGTCTCCAGTGACTGAGTGAAAAGACTGGTGCATTATGGGAACAAGGGGCGTGGCCACAGGATGAAGAGAGATATATATTTAAAATATCACCCAGTCAAAAGGAACTGAAGATGAAGAAACCCAGCTATGGATTGCAGGAGCAGTACTCTGGAAAAATGGGAAAGAATGAGAGAAGATCGTGGAGAGTAAATGAAAACTTGTTTAGATATGAAAAGAATGTAAATGAACTTAAAAAACAAATGAAGGAATTTTTTGAAATGAACTTGAATAAGGGTACCCCTATTGAAATTGTTTGGGATGCGGGGGGTACTGATTTATATGAACTCTAAACATAAATTAAATCGACAAAGAAAAAGATTAGAACTGGAAGGAGAGATAAAGAAAAAAGAGCAGTTGCTTATAAAAAATCCAACAGATGAAAAACTACAAGGAATTATAAAACTTTTGAAAGATCAATTTCAAATGCTTACAGCAGAACAAGCAGCAACTAATTTACAATTTGTGAAACATAATACATTTTGCAACGCTAATAAACCAGGCAGGTGGTTGGCTTACACATTGAGGAAGCAGCAGAGTACTCGGACTATTGGTAGTATTGAGTATGGAGGGAAGGAAGTATTTCAACAAAGATTAATCAAAGAAGCCTTTCTAGATTATTATACTAAACTATATGCTAAAGATAATATACAGAATGAACTTATAAATAAATATCTAGAAGAAAGGAGAGTTACGAAAATTTCTAGTGATCAAAAGGAAAGAACGAGTCTACCAATAACAGCTGAGGAGATTATTGTTGCTATTAAACAACTGAAAACAGCTAAAGCTCCAGGAACGGATGGTTTAACTGCGGTGTATTATAAAACTCTACAAGCAGAAATGATTGAACATCTTAAAGACTTATTTTGTAGCATACAACAAGGGGGGAAAATACTCCCTTCATGGAAAGCAGCTTTTGTCTCTTTGATACCAAAAGAGGAAGCAGGTTCTACAAAACCGGAAAATTTTAGACCAATATCTCTCCTGAATACGGATTATAAAATTTTTGCAAAAGTATTAGCCAACAGATTAATGCCAGTTATTCAAGAGGTGATCCATCATGATCAAGCAAGATTTATAGAAGGCAGATACATGAAGGATAATGTAAGGCAA